AAAAAAAAAAAAAAAAAAAAAGAAAAAGAAAGAATTAAAAAAAAAAAGATCCTATGCCCAATGAAAGTATCAATCACATGCAAAAACAGAACAGATATTTTCAAAAGTGTAAGACACAGAATCTCCCATTCTATGGGCCTTTGGGGGAGGATCTAGGAAGAGGAGATGCTTAACCTGAAGAGGAGTATAAGGCCAGCAACAGAGACCAGAAAACAGGAGAACATGCCCGGGAGACGACTGGGACCCACAGGGCTCGGAGAAAGCATGATTTAACTTGACAGCTTGTGCCAGCTGACCTGGAGAACAGCCAGCCTAGCCAGGACCAGCAGGCAGGGCGGAGGGCTGAGGGGTGCTCAGTGGTGGAGCCAGGCCTAGCTTGCACGAGGCCCTGGCTTTGATCCCCAGCGACACAGAGCAGGAGAGATGGTACCACGAAAACGGCACATCAGTAAAATGACTGACGTAATTCAACTTGTTAAAAGTTTAGTCAGAGAATTTGGAGACTAATAAGTAATAGGCATATGGAAACTACACCACTCAGAATTATAACAACAGTAAAGAGTCACGGTGTTGGAGACCACTACAAAGTGGCTCTGAGCAGGATTTAGTACTAACCAACTGGCTTCCCATATTTACTTGGGAGCTGTCCGAAGCGAGGGCACCTTGTCTGAAGATCGGCAGGAGACTCGGTAAATGAACGTCTGAGAGTCACTGGTCACCCCGAGGCCTGCACTGGCCTGTGCAGCTGTGATGGCCCCCCGCTGAGGACGTCTGCCTCCAACCCCAATTAACTAAGAGGAGACTGCAGCTGCAGGCTCCACCCTCCTACAGAGAAAGAGAGCACCAATCTAGAGATAAAGTAGTTCTCCTGACTGACATAATTTACTACCTGGGAAAAGTCTCCCAAGGTCCTGCTCAGAGTCCCGTGTTTTCTTGAGTATCCCGCTCCTTTGTTTGTAAACCAAATAAACACAGGTGCCCAGAAAAGTCTGCCTTAACCCAGAAAATCTCGAAGTCTGTAAGAGTTAGACCCTCCTGGAGCCCTACAATCATTTCGATTGTCTCGTTTATTTCTGCCTTCGCCGTCCACTCGTTTGGGAGATTGTGGGTCTGATCAGCCTGCAGTAACTAAGGGTTACTGACCTGGTATCATGGTGTGATGATATCAACACTGACCACTCACTTAGCCCCAAACTGGCAAATCTGCTGCAAGGTTGAAAGGACACATGTGCAGGAGGAAATGTGTGTGCATAGGAGGTGTTCCTAGGGACAGGCGAGAGTCAGAACACTTCAGTGTGCAAGTGAGAGGTGCGTAAGGTATACTGCAACCTGAAACATAACAGGCAGAAGCACCGGTGTGTTTTCAAGGTGCTGAACACCTGCAACACAACACTAAGGCTGAGGCAGGAGGATCCCAAGTTCAACCCCAGTCGGGCAACTTAGGGATTTTGTGAGATCCTGCCTCAAAATGAAATTAAAAGGGCAGGGATGTAGCTCAGTGCAAAGGCCCCGCGCTCAATCCCTAGTATCAGAGAAAAACACAGAACCAACCTGAGAAAAGAGCTGAAAAGGAGGCTGGGGATTTAGCTCAGCGGCAAAAGCGCCTGCCTAGCAAGCGCAAGGTCGTGAGTTCAGTTCCCGGTACCAGAGAAAAACCAAAAAATAAAAAGAAATTATTAAAAAAAGAAAAGAACTGAAAAGGCTGAGCGGCGTCCTACTGAATGCTGGCAAGAGGAGAGTTTTCCATTTTAAGTCACATAGCACAATGTTAGCTTTGAGATTAGGAATATGTGCTAATTTCATAAAAGTGCAAGTTTAGCAAGAAACTAAAATAAAAATACAAAAAAATATAATCAAAATACAAAAGATGGTAAGATGTGGCATAATTTTTGCACTACTGAGCAGAGAGGCCAGGAGGGAGAGGGGTTACACAATGCACCTTGACACGTGAGTCTAAGTTCGGTGATAAAGGATACCTTTTTTGTTGTTTTGAGACAAGGTCTCACAATGTAGCCAGGACTCCCGAGTGCTGGGACTATAGGCATGTACCACCACACCCGGCAGCATTTAATGGCAGCATTAAATTTTTTTATATGTTAACCACACTTCTAGGATTTAATATGAATAATGTACTATATAACTATAGGTTTGTTGGCTTTTGTTGTTTAAAGAATCAACCCCTCACTCCCAGCACTTAGGAGGCTGAGGCAGGAAGACTGCTATGAGTCTGAGGCCCACTTGGGCTACACAGTAAGTTCAAGGCTAGCCTGAACTACATAGTGAAAACCAACCCATCAAACCATACATAAAGCATAAACTATTTAACTGTAACTTAAGGGCAGACTATGAATCTAGAGCCAGTCAACCAAGCCCTTGGCTATGAATAAACAGCAGCTGACAAAGGAGTGGGTGGAGGGCTAGGCAGAGGTGGTACAGAGCACAAGCCCGCACTCCCCACCCTGCAGGCAAAGCCAAGGACCGTCTATCTGAAGTTATGGCAGAAGACAGAGAAGCATAAACTGGGTGCGGTGGTGCACGCCTGTAATCTAGCACTTGGGAGACTGAGGCAGGAAGACCGCCATGAGTTCACCGCCAGCCTGGGCTACACAGCGAGTTCAAGGGCAGCCTGAGCTACATAGTGAGTGACTGTCTCAAACCCTGCCCCCCCAAAAAAGCTTAAGTAAATGAAAGAAGAATGAAATGTACCCAGTCAGGTGGGCACAGGAAGGCAGAGGGGCCCTGTGAAGAGCTGCATGACTCATCTTCCTACTCCCAAGGGCAGTACAGGTTCCACTGAAGGTTAAGTCAGCATGGAATCAAAGCAAAAGCACGTTATGTAGAACAGGGAGGACGGGAACCACCAGAACACCTAAAACTCAGAACTGGGAAAAGCAGACACACTCTTTCATGTAATGCCGGTCTGTATAGTTTTTTCCTTAGACAGGGTCTCACTATGTAGTTCAGGCCGACTTGAACTGCAGTGATCCTCCTGCCTCTGCCTGCAGAGTGTGGGGTTACAGGTGCGCACATAAAGCCCAGCTGCCAGTCTGTACTTAAAGAGAAAGAAAAAGGCAACACAAAGGGCTTGAGGGACACTGACGGAGGCACATCTTGTCGTGGTGCTCCTGGTGTCCTGGCACACAGAGGGCACCGAAGGCACCACACTACCCCAGGAGTGAGTCCCCTGGGATTTCAGTGTTTTATGCACGTTTAACCCACTTCCTGGGCAAGTTCCAGATCTATAACACGGACATAATCCTTCTCCCCAAATCACTCCTCACGGGGTTCCCAGGAGTAACTGTACCGCAAGGCCGTCAGAGCTGTTCTCACCACTCTGTCGTGGGAGGAGGGTTTGGGGTTAGAGAAACGAATGTGCTTGAGGTAACCGCCAAATGACGGCTCCTGGCATTTCAGGCAAGGAAAGCACACTCGTGAAGAGCACACCCCTGCTACGGGCGCCTTCAGGGGACGCGCCGGGCTTCCACCGTCCACCGCGGCGTCCACTGCAGCGGCACAGTTCCACTAGTCGGCATGATCCCGCCCTGGGCGTTTTTACGACAAGGACTCGCAAATGCATGGGAGTAAGGACCAGGAGAATTCTGCCCGAACAATGAAGCGTCTTTAGTGCAATGTGGGGCAAGCCCAAGTAACTGAAGCGTGAGTCCCCTTGGTGACACGCAGTTCAGACCATCCTGCCCGCTCACCAGGGTCTCACCAGAAATGAGAGAATCCGTGCACTGCACGGCTGTGCACACATTTATAGAGTCTAAGACAGACATGCACGCCTTAAAAAGTCAAGCAGAAAAGGAAAGCTGGTCATTTACAGCCTGAACTCTCATTACCAGGCCCGTCTCAGGAATGTAACGTATTAAAGCTGCCTTGGGCTGGGGTGCAGCTCAGTGGCAGACGTCTGCTTAGCACACACAAAGCCCTGGGTTCTGTCTCCGGCACAAATAAATGAATAACTACAGCTCTAACCCTGGAAAAGGAAAACACACCAACTAAAAGCAGTTCTCAGAGTGGAAATAACTTCTAGCCACACCAAACTGCAACACATTTTAAAGGAAGAAAACAAAATCTAAAACTCGACAGCAATGGGCAGCAAACGACAGCCGTAGGCGAAGTGCAGCCTGCTTTTTCCCTAACAGTCCTACCGGAGTACAGGCAGACCCATTCATGGGCTGTGAGGGACCCCATGCACAGCGCACAGGCTGTGGCCCCGGACCCCGAAGTATTTGCATCCGGCCCTTTACACAAAATGCTGCGGCTAACTCCCCACACCCCACGGTTAGATAATTAGCATTTAACATGATCATCGATGGGGCTGGATTTAGATGTGTCACTTTTTCTGGTTTGTCTCTGGGGTTTTGTTTTTAACTTCGTTTTGTCTGTTTCTGTCCTTTGCGTCTGCTTTGGAGTACTCTATTTTTAGTGAAGCATTTTAGTATCTATTGGTTATATATGTATCATTTTAATGGTCGCTCTAGAGATTAAAATATCCATGCCTAAATCTTTACAGTTTTAATTATTCCTAATACACTTTCTGTGAAATGTAAAAGCTAAGCAACCAAAAACTGGGGACAACTTGAGACTGAATACAGACCACGGGCAGAGCAGACGGCAGCAGTCTGACCCCAAGCCAAACCACGGTCCCTGCAGCCGTCCACTCACACTGGTCAGGGCTTGGCCAACAGCGGCAGTATCCCAGTGTTCGTCCCACCTCCAGCTCAGGACCACGGAGAGAAAACCAGACGTGTTCCTCAAACAGGCACGGAACACACCTCGTCTGCTTTGGGCTGGGCTCCAGTTCCGCACGGCAGCAGCTTCCACAGAGCGCCTGAAGCTGCCCTCTGGTTTCCTTTCCTGCCCCACTGTAAAGCTGTCTCCGTGTACACCTGCGCCCACCGAACACAGCTTCTCCTTGACATAAAACTCTAAAAGAGAAACTCCAGCATATCAAAACTCATAGATTACTTTGTGTATTTATTATTTTTTTTAAAGAAATGTCCTATAAATAAGTAGCACATTAAGGCCATAAATAATCTCATCTCACAGGACTATTATGACTCAATTATTTAGAAATTCATTTTTATGTTGTGTCTTGTGAGGCCGAGGCTTCCCTACAAAGAGTCAGTAAACACAACTATTTTTTTCCATTAGGTTTTAAATTTTTTATTGGGACAGAATTTGGGGATTGGGTATTAGATCTGGGTAGAGTTCAATGTATTTACATTTTGTCAGACAGATTCTTGAAGAATAAGCTGATGGCATGTAACTTGACAGCACACACCCTCACTAAACTGACAAAAATAAATTAAACAAGGGTTTTAACATACCTCAATGACCAGCGAGTTCCAAATATAATACAGTAAACAAAATATTTAACTGTCCTTTTATCAAACTCTGACAATCACCTTCAGTCTTCACTGTCTGAGCAAATCAGCTTTAGCTTTTTCATGGTCCTCCACCTGTCTTTCAGCATGACACTGGTGCGGTTGTTGAATTTGTAACGTAACAGTATTTTAGTCCAGTTTCCCTCTCCGTACTTCCTCACACCAGATTTCAAATTCTTGTCTTCTTCCCAAAGCCATGGCTTTTGATAAAAAGTACAAGTTACTCTCATGGACACTTCTTTGAAGAGAACACATCTGAAGTAAATAATTTTTTAAAGAAGGAAGAATTTCTCTATACGGTTCTTAAGATTTTTTAAAACATTACCTTTATCATATAACTTTCTAAGGGTAATTATTGTTCACTTTACATAAGCTCAGCTGCTCAAGGCTGGAAAGATAGAAAGTGACAGAGCTCCTGCCACCCAAGCTGCCCAGCTTTATGCCCAAGCTGCCTCCTTCCCACCTAGAAGCACAGTCCTGGGCACTGAACACAGAGCCTCCACTCTACGCTACATCTTTCAGCACTTTTTATTTTTGATTTTAGACAGCTTCCCAGTTGCCCGGGCTGGGCTCACACTTGCCATTTTCCTGTCACAGCCACTTACTCTGAGACTACAGACTCCTGCCCCCACACCCAGCCGCACACTTCCTCTTCATCCCTTCATATACTTCTCAACAGATTCCTTCGTAATTCTAGATAGGATTTATAAATTTTAGTACTTCTTTAACGAGCTCTGTGAAAATCCTGTTCTCCTTGCGTTGGGGGAGTTACATACAAGGACATAAAACTCAATTCCTCTGAAATGAATTTTCAAAAACTCAAGTAACATAAATTTAAGACATACATTTTATGTTGGGAGCAAGTAACTGCAATTAAAGAAAAATATAATCCATACACGGTAAAATTACTGACCTTTGCCATCTTACAGGTGACCAACTCTTGAGATGTGACCATATAACATTATCTACTATGCCTACACTACAAGAAATGCCTCAGCAGACTTTCGCATTTTCAAAGAAAATCTAGTCAATCACCTCACACTATTAAAAAGAAAAGCTCATAATCTCAGCACTTGGGAGACTGAGCAAGGATTGAGTTGGAAGCCAGTCTGGGCTATACACGGAGACACTGTCTCAAAACACCAACCCAAAACAAAGCACTGCACCAAAGTAAAATGGGTGAGGATGTGGAGAAAATGAAACCCATATGCACTGCCAGTGGGAATGTAAGATGGTGCAGTCACTAAGAAAAACATGGCAGCTACCCCAAACAGACGAATAAAACCACAGCAATCCCACTTGGGGGTATGTACTTAAGAGAGCTGAAAGGAGTGATGCTAAAAGATACCTGTACACTCATGGTCATAGCTGCATCATTCACAACAGCTACAACGTGAAACAAGTGTCCGTGAATACATGAATGAATGAGTGAGTGAGTGAGTGAGTGAAGCAGGTCTGGTACGCAGATACAGTAGAATATTATTTATCATTACAAGGGAGATTCTGACATGCTACAAAACAGATGTACTCTGAGGACATTTGCTAAGTGAAATAATTTAGACACAAAAGGCAAAATATTATATCATTTTGCTGAGATGAGGTGCTTAGAAGAGCTGCATTTAGGAAGTACAGTGGGGGCGGAAACGTAGCTCAGTGGTACAGCACTTGCCTAACATGCGCAAAGCACCATTAAAACAAAATAATGTTAGTACGTTAGTTTATTCTGTGGCTAGGTAGTATGATGGTAGGAAAATAATATGTGTTTAATGTCATTGAACTATACCCTTGAAAGATTAAGAGTGTAAACATTACGTCATGGGTATTTTATCACAATTAAATAAAAAAGTCAGTTTCCGGTATTTGATGCAGTATCAGAAAAACTCAAGGAACCCTGCAGAAGGTGAACGTGAAAATGATCTTATGGATGACTCAAGACCATAAAAACTGGCAACAAACGTAACGCATCACTTGTGGAAGTTGTGCACCGTGACTCCAACCCAAGATGACAGCGTCTGTACCCGCTTCTGCTCTGGCTTGTATGTGGCACTCCTATCCCCACCATGCTGCCTACGAATCCCTGGCTCCTCAGTCTCTGGACACAAACTGACACCCTCCTACGCCTGTCTATTACTGACCGAGTCTCCTGCAATCCTACGAAGCCCCACGCCACTGCTTGTCACTAACAGGCACGAAAGCCACAGGGAGAAGCTGGGGGCGGTGGCACAGGCCCGTGAGCCCAGCACTCCGAGGCTGCGGCGGAAGGAAACTGAGTTCAAGTCTCCCGGGCTATACACATACAGCAAGGTCAAGGCCACCTTGGTCTACAGTGACACCGTCACAAAACAAAACATGCAGATGTCACCTCCACCTTACTTTCCATGTAACCAATGGTTCTCACTTTAACGCTGGTGAGCACTACGCAAACGTAACAGAAATACCTGTCTTTTCCTGGCTCGCTGTTTTTCCTGGGTTACTGGTTGATTTGTGGAAGAACATCTTTTAGCGTCTCTTCTGTTTGCCTTTCTTCCACCTAAGATTAAAGATACTATCATCAAAAACTGTTTCACACACAAAAAAATTGTTTCATATTAAACGAAAATGAGGAATTATGTTTTTGAAGATCATAATAGAATTGAAGTTCCTATTTACTTTTAGCTACTCTAAGAAAAAGAAATCCATGTCTAATTTTTTTCCTTCAAATCTCGAAACAGCATGATATGCGAATCACGGCTGTTGACAATCAGAGGGGGAGTATTTTGCATCTTGATTCTTTTCATGTCTTTAAAACTTTTATCCCTGAGCTTGGCAAAGCATGCCTGTAATCTTGGCACTCTGGGAGGCTGATGCAGGAAGATGGTAAGTTGGAGCCCAGCTTGGGCAATGTAGTGACTTAGCAAGAAAACAAAAGAGCCTGAGACATGGCTCAGCGTGAGGGCCCTGGTTCCATCCCCAGTAATTTCCCTGGCCCCTGACCAACCACACAGAAAAAACATAGGATTTAAGTTTTCCTGTAATAATGTTTAGAGGCATATAACATAAAACAAGAAGCATAACGCTTTCCTCACTCCTTTCTTTCCTTTTCTTTTTTTTTTGAGACAGGGTCTCACTATACAGTTCAGGCTGGCCTTGAGCTCACTATGTAGCCCGGACTGGTCTGGAGCTGGTCACAGTCTTCCTGCCTCAGCCTTCCAAGTAATGGGATTATAAGGTTGTGCCTGGCTCCTTATTCCTTTCTTATTCATTGTCAATTTGGTAAGCCAAGAAATGCATGTGTATATTTAACAGATAAGAAACAGAACTGTAATTATGAAAAGATGGTAAATGCATAGAGAACGTAAAAGAAGCTACAAATAAAGTAAAGTAGGTTGGCGACAAGACCAATATACAAAAGGCAATATATATACAAACATGTTACAGAAATATACTTTGTTTACGAGTAGGAAGACATAACTGTCAGTTCGTACCAAAGTGATCTAGTGCTGTAATGCAGCTTCAAATAAAAATTTCAACAGAGTTCTTTGTGTAACTTAACAAGATTCTCCTAAAATTGTTTGTGTTGGGAGAAGGAGCCTGCCATGGGCCCTGAGCATTCTTGTAGTTCTTGCGTACTGAAAAAGTCTTATTCATTTCCTGACACGCGCAGTCCACAGCTAGTCAGGCAAGTAAGTTAGTCGAGGAAATCACAGGGTAGCCACTGTGGAACTGCACTGTCCTGGGACAGGATATCGGTTTGCAGTTTGTTAGTGTGTTTGCAGCTTACTCAAAAGGTGCTAGGCCCTTGGCCCTGAGTTCCTCAGGTAAAACAGAACTTGCTTCCTTTATAGCATCTACCTCAGCCCACTGTATTTCCATGAGATATCAGCACAACTACACTAAGGCCATGTTATGTTGTGACTGTCTTACTCTAAGTAAGTCTTACCATTGACCTTTGAAACCTATGCAGTGTTACCAGGTTTACTGCTTATGATCCTCTATTGTTGTTTCAGACACACACACACACACACACACACACACACACACACACACACACACACACACACGGAATACAGTACTGTTTCAGGAGGGACCAAAAGACCTGAATACAGGTGGAAATTTGACATATGTATTGGCTAGGCTCCAGGCAAGAAAATGGAACCATAATAGCTATTAACAGAGATTTTATTTTAATTAACTAATTAATTAATTTTTGAGACAGGGTCTCACTATGCAGTTCAGGCTAACCTTGAACTCAATATGTAGCCCCGACTGGCCTTGAACTTAATCCTTCTGCCTCAGCCTCTGAGTGCTGGGATTACAGGTGTGTGACACCACACCAGGTGAATATATTTTAATATTGAAAGAACTATTTAACAAGTGCTAGAAGACAAAAGAGAAAAAAAAAGGAAAAAATAAACTACAGACACACACAGAGTTTTCTTTCAGTAACTGATAATGTGTAAGCATTAAACAAGATGAAGAACATCTGACACCAGTACTACTAACAAACTTGCCCTAACTGACATTTTAAAATATTCCATTCAGTAACAGCTTCTGAGTTACATTCTTTTCAGATGTTCATCAACAGTTGCCCAGACAGACTAGACTCTGGGTCATAAAATATCTTTTAGGATCAAAGGAAAAGATAGGGACCGAGATCTCACTAAGTCGCCCCACTCCAAAGCCTCATGTGCTCATAGGTGGGGCTTTTGGGAGCTGACTGTATCATGGGTGTAAGACTGGATTAACCCACTGATTGGTTTAGCACAGTTCTGGATGTGGCTTAAGTTCCTGAGGGAAGACCCACCTTGGGTGGGGGTGGCCCCAATAGGTTTGTAGTCTGGATGGAATAAAAAGGAAAAGAAGAAGCAGGGCTTCTTGCCTCCTGCCTGCCCTGCCATGGACTGTTTCTCCTCTGCGATGCCCCCCTGCTGTGCCATGGTGCACTGGAGCCGGCTGACTATGGACTGAAACCTCTACACGCTGAGCTGAAATAAATCTCTCCTCCTTCAATTTGTGGGTGTCAGATATTTTGTCCCAGCAATGAGAAAGTAACTAAGACAAGGGATATGAATAGGAAAGAAGTCAAATCATCATTATTTGCAGATATGATCCTCTACATAAAAGGCCCAAAAAATTCCATCAAAAAACCCCTAGAATAACCAATTTCAGCAATGTAACAAGTTACAAAATCACACAAAAATCAACAGCATTTCTGTACAATAATAAACTCACTGAGAAAGAAATTAGGGAAAATAATACCTTTCATAATAGCATCAAGAAAAATTAAATATTTAGAAATTAACCAAGGAAGTGAAAAACCCCTACAATTAAAACTACAGCACTTTGAAAAAAAAAAAAAGAGATGGAAGAATACATCAGAAAATGGAAAGATATCTAATTTCTGGATAGGGAGAATTTGTAAGTAAATGGTCTTACTTCCAAAACACATACACAGATTTAATGCAATCCCAATAAAAATATTGATAGCCTTTGTCACAGAAATAGTGAAAACAATCTTAAAATTTCCTATTGCACCAGAAAAAACCTACAACGGCAATAGCAAAAGCAACACCAGGCAACAAGAGCAAGGCAGGAGACATCATAATCCTGGACTTCAAGTTATACTACAAAGCTACGGAAATAAAAACAGCATTGGATCGGCCAGCCTCCTGCTCCCCCAAAACCAGATATAGATCAGTGGAACAGAACAGAGGACACAGAAACAACTCCAGGCACATTCAGGTACCTGATCTTTGACAAAAGGGCCAAAAACACACAATGGAGGAAAGATGGTCTCTTTAACAAGTGGTGCGGAGAAAAACGGCTATGCACATGCAGAAGATTGAATCTACACCCATATCTTTCACCATGTACTGAACTAAAATCAAAATGGACCAAAAATCTAAATATTAAAAAAAAGCACTTAATCTGCTGCAAAGTAAAATAGACAAAACCTTTAAGGTATAACTGAATGCAAGGTCTTTCTGAACATAACCCCAATTGCACAAGATATACCAAGTACAACAAATGGGATTATATCCAATTAAAAAATTTTTGCATAGCAAACACAAAAAACAACACAGTGAAAAGACAACCTACAAAAAGGGAAGAAGATTTTGCCAATTATTCTCTAGACAGAGGACTCTTACCTAGAATATAGACAGAACTAAAATATTAGATCCCCCAATAAAATAAGATCCATTTAAAAATAGGCAACCAAAATGAATATATACTTCTCAGAAGAAGAAATATAAATGGCCTTTAAATATATGGAAAAAGGGGCTGGGGATTTAGCTCAGCGGCAAAAGCACCTGCCTGGCAAGCGCAAGGTCGTGAGTTTGGTTCCTGGTACTGGAGAAAAAACCAAAAAAAAAAAAAAAGGAAAAAAAAACTTCAACATCTCTGGTCTTTAGAAAAATGTGTATTAACCACTTAATAGTTTACCCTGAGGGGCACTGGGGCAGGTGTCATTTCAATCAGCCCACTCTTGTTTGCACATGATTACTTTCCTACGGGCTAGCGAAGTGCCAACCAGGACAACCATCATCGACATCTCCACTGTTACATTCAGTGGACAGACAGTTTATTGAAATTATACCCCCCACAGAAAAAAAGGAAAGGTCAACACGACAGTGTAAAGTGTGCTGCTCAAAAAATGACAATAATGCAAAAAGAATTTGGAAAGAAACCAGATGCTACTGTTCAGAGGGTAATGTTGCACTTTGTGTTGAATAATTTAAGATCTATCATACACAGAAAAATTACTGAATTTTAAAATGTTTGTATTCCTGTTATAAAAATTAACAAGAAAACCATGCAATTTTTGGTCGTCCTGTATTTAAATAACTGGACTGGTAAATGAACACTGAGTTTCCACCTTACTCCAGAAAGGATGGCTATCAAATCAGATGACAATAAACAATGGTGGGGGGGGCATCTATATTGTGGTGGGAATGTAAACTAGTACAACCATTATGGACATCAGTATGGAGATTCTTCAAAATGCTTGACACAAATTCTATTGGAGCCAGCTATCTCCTTCTGCATATCCTCCTAGAAGAGTTAAGGATACCGTATTACAGTGATACACGTATACCCATGTTTGCAGCAGCACATTTGTAATAGCTAGATCTTGGAAGTGCCCTATATGTTCATTAACAGATGAAAAGAAAATGTAGTGTGCATATATATGTATATATATATATGCATATATTTACACACACACACACACACACACACACACACTGTGGAGTACTTCTCAGCCACAAAGGAGGATAAGTTTGAGTCATGTGTAAGAAAAGTGATATAGCCTGAGACTACATTGTTAAATGAAGTACATCAGACACACAGAGATTGCGTTTTTTTTTTTTTAAATAAGAAACCCAAAGTATAAAGAGCAAAATAAAGTACTGCACAGATAATATGAAATATGAAGAACTAGTGACAGGAGGACTGGGGAGGAGAGGGAGGACCAGGGAGGTAGAAGAGTTACAATGCATCAGATTCACGTACCAGTGCCCCATGATAAGTACAATCAACAGGTACAGCAGATGTACTAATGGAAATGTTAAAAAATTGTGCGATACAAATAAAATAGTTAAAAGAGATTTATAGACTTATAGCATTAAAAGTACATTTTAGAAAAATGTGGGCATGAAAGAAGAAAAAAGCCAAGCACAGTGGCACACACCTGTAATCTCAGCAATCTTGGGGGCTGAGGCAGGAAAATCACAAGTTTGAGCTCAGGGCAGAGAACTTGGTGAAATCCTGTCTCCAATAAAAGTTTATAAAGAAAAGCAACTCATACAACAAGAGGAAACATCAGATTGATCATCAGATTTTTCAGGACAGTACACAAAATTAATGTTTGTAAAGTTGTGAGAAAAAAGCATTTCTAGAGAACATTTTATTTATGCTAGTCTCTTTTTAAGCAAAAAGAATCAATGTTGTGGATGTAAAAATCAAGATGTTATAGTAGCTATAAGGCATAAAAAAGAACAACCAACACAAAAAATGAATCAAAATGAGGAACTACTGAATGAAGGACTCTTGGTCAAAGAATTCATGGAGAATAAATCAGTTTAAGTAATTAAGGTTAAACTTTTACAGGAACGGTGACTACAATAATGTTACAGCCTTGACTATATTAAATATAACCAAGAAAAACTGGGGATCGCTGGGAGAGATTTTTGTTAAAATCAAGGTGAACACCACAAATTTATGTTTTGGAAAAGAATTCAAAGTTTGAGCACAGACAAAACTTCTATCTTCTAAGTAAGAGAAAGGATGCTTGCGTACTATTTAAGCGAACAGTATTTTTGAAAAAAATGTATGAGAAAAGGTCAAGAACGTGCTGAAACTCACGAGGCCTTCCACAATCAGGAGCCACAGTAACTGCCAGCCACCGCGCCGTGAGCTTATGGTTTTCATCTGTTTGATTACTGGTTAAGTACAGTGTTAACAAGTCTGTGTTAATGTTTCTTGAAGTTTGTACTATACAACTCAAAGTCCAAGAACATACTTACAGAATTCTAGTTTGAAACTGTAATTCCTAGCCATTTTGCAGCAAGAGATGTGGAAAGCCAGTTTTAGAATCTAGCAACAATTAGGCAAATAATTTCACGTTTCAGTTATCTTTGAAATGAATGACGACAATATCGATGTATATAAATGTTTTAGTGCTATACAGTATTCACAAATATTACTGAAAGTGGCCATGTCCCCACCCATTAGTTATATTTAGTGTAGAACTATTTACTATGTGTTTAGCATCAAGCTGGTACCTTATGAGGACAGCGAATAAACCTAAATTCATTATACCTCATTTTTATTTTGGTCAATTATTTTAGGTTTGGATCTACGAGGTCTAAAAATCTCTGCATTAACAGTGTGTAGCATATAATGTGGGTTCAATAAATGTTAAAGGAGTACATACCAAGAAGAAACTTGTATTTCGTAAAATCTGTCTTCACTCCGAAGTCAGTATTCATGACACTTTCAGGGTCATTGATGGGCATGCACAAAGTGACAAAATTTGAACCACTGGATGCAATGTCCATAGCTGAGGTCAAAAAAGGTCAATAGTCTGCCTATTTATTTTAATTCTTATAGCAGTTCAGTGTCTTTTTTATTGGTTTGGCAACACTTTTTTTTTGCATTTTGGTGCTTTTTGCTGGTCGTTTTGCCATTTAAAATTGTCCCCACTTAGCTGAGCATGGCTGTGCATACTTAACCCCAGCACCCTGGGAGGCTGAGGGAGGACTGCAAGTTTGAGCTCAGTCTGGGTAACTTAGTGACTGTGACCTTGCCCCAGAATAAAAAAATTAAAAATGGTTGGGGATACCGCCTTGTGGGAAGGCCCTGGGGTCAATCCCTAGTACTGGGGAGAAAAGGGCAAGCACCCAAGCGTTGTCTGGTGCTTCTAGTGGAAGCACAGCCATGGTGGACTTTAGATTTTAGTGCGTTACAAAAGTTGCATTTAAGCATACATTACAGTGCTGCTGACGGCAATTCAGTGTTTTTTTGTTTTGTTTTCTGCTACCGAGAATCGAATTCACGACCCTGCGCTTGCCAGGGAGGCACTGTGCCGCTAAGCTAAATCCCCAGCCCCAATTCAGTGTTAATGAATCAACGACAAGTGTCTTTAGATAGAAATATACTCTTTAAAAAAAGATTATGTGTTGATCAGCTGATAAAAATGTTGTGCCCAAAGGCTCCGAAGAATCTAACTTTACATTTCCTGTAGGGTTAATGTAATGTTGCTAATTCAACGCTCTCTGAATCTCTATAAAATATAACCATTTGTGAATAATGAGGTTTGACTGCATATGTCTCAGAAAATTATCTATTTGAAATTACTGGATATAGTAATGACAGAAAAGTAGTATTACTAGCACAGCTAAAGATTTCTAAGCGAGGCAGTAGCTTTCTAAATTAAACAGCCTCTTCAAACTTTAACATTTAACCCCTTTGGTGCTTTGATTTTCTGAAGTGTGCATCTTTTTGAGTATTAAACTGGTGTGTCTTTTCTGTTACAGTGCTGAAGTCTACGACTGCTTCATTTTGAGAACACACCATCTTTCCAGCTCTAAAACTACAGCAAACAGTACTCACTTTGAAGAATTCCCACTCTCTCTTTCTTATTAAGATCTTGCTGACAGCTTCTTTGTTCCAATTTAGGTAAGAAGATGTTGCTGTGAGACCTAAATAAAATAGAAACGCTGTCACTGATTCCAGGAAGACTGGTAATAGGGAGAAAACGGCAACTTTAGATCTGGCCCCTTACTCTGGTGCTCTCCTTGCCTATGATCCCACATTAGCCTTCGGGCTCTTAAGGTTTCCGCGTCAGGCTTTCCTCTCTTCCTCAGCTCTTTTCTCTACCTCATTTACTCAGAAATTAAGACTGTTGGTCTTTAAATTACATTAAGAAAAAAAATTCTTCAAATGATACACTTTTATCCCTAAGTATTCTGTGCAGCCAGCTAGTGAGCTCTCTCCTCTTCCCCCTCCCGACACCTCCTACCGTGCTCTCTGCGACGCCGGGCTCAGCCCCTTCACTAGCTCCTCTACCTCGCCTCTCCGAACTCTGTTTCTTTCCTTGGGCCTTCTCAAGGACAGACGGGCTCCATCTCCCATCCTCTATAAACTAGGGGGCCCAGAAATGGCTCTTTATAGTTGCCTTTTTGTAGTGCTGGGGATAAACCCAGGGCTTCACACATGCTAGGCAAGCACTCTCGTAGTAAGCCCCAATGCAGTTTTCAGTTCCTAATGAATGACACTTGCAGAACCCTGCTTCCACAAAAACTTCAGCCCTGAGGAGTCGTGCTACTGAGATATTACCACCTTTTACATGCTTCACAGCCACTCACTACCCTGCCAAGTGAGGTCCGTCACTCACAAATCCTTCTTGCACCAAGTGCTGTTATTATAAAGTATCTCCGTGTTTTCCTGAACAAGCCACAGAACACCCTAGATTATCAAACCCACATCTCCAACCATCTCCTCCACACCGAGTTAGCCGCCCCCTTAGCATCCCAAGTACTCTACTTAAATCCTTCATACAGACCTTGTTTTCTAGACATGTTAAATGTAAACCCCTGTTCTCTGACTGTTCCACCATCTTATTTCCATGACAAAATAAGACTTTACTAAACATCTACTTTAAGATCCAATACTCCCCACATGCCCTTCCAATAACGGCCTTGCAGGAACAACGTGAAACAACCCAGGACCCCAGAAAAGAACTCTATAGTTTGAAATTTCAACACATGAGGACCTTGGCTCATCTACTGAAGTAAGCAAGATGCTGAGGTATTTTTAATCATACCATTTACACAGCAATTATAAGAACATATTTAGGTCTAAAGACAGAAAAAAAACGTCAATTTACTTCACCGCAATAAGGACACTACTCTTTGAGGATTCAATAATCGCAGACTGTCGCTAACACTTTGAAAGAAGAAAAAATTGTAAGACCGTAAACAGAAGAAACTGTATCAGGACAGTACTTTCCACACACAGTCAAGTCGTATTTCAATTCATAAAACACCTTTGGAAATAGTGCCTGGTTACAACATGGCTTATTTGTGCCCAGATACGCTTCCAATAGGTATAAAGCAAATTTCCCCCAGCAGAAGTTGTGCACAGTTAATGCTGTAATCGGGCACTCATAACATCACTCTTTCAAAACTCAATTCTTATTTCCATGACTTCATTAGAAAGCTTTAATACTGTGTATGTTCCATGCATACCAGCTGATGAGTTCCATTTTCTTGTCCTACCCATCAATCTCCAGTTGAACTTTTAAATAATTTTCCTTTGATGCAGTTCAAATAGCTTCCACAAACACAGCATAACCATATTCACCTACATGCCTTCAATGTTGTGTGTTTTTAAATTTTTTTTCCTGAAACAACATTTCCTTTTCCATCCATCCCTAAAAGTCAGTTACTCCTTCAAGTCCCCGCTCAAATGCGACAGCCTGTGAGGCTGTTTATCCCAGCTCCGTCAGCATTTGGGTTTACCTATGGGCTTCAGCAACATATTATGGATCATCTGTTACCATTTGTTTCCTGCCTCAAAAAGACAAAAAAAAAAAAAAAAAAGAATTCTTACTGCCTCAAACATATAACAAGCTTTATCTGAGCAAAATATTAATTTTGTTTAATCTCAAGTAAGTTTCTACTTTTCTTGCATTTGTACGACCTCACAATCACACTTCTGATGCTGTTTGCCTCATCTGCATCCTATTGATCAGCCAGACAAACAAATGAAAGCAAAGAGTGAATCCAAAATGGACTAAGCATGGGATAAAGAGAAGCACGTAAAGACGGGCGAGAAGGCCTATGCTGCTGGGAAGCATCATGCACTAGGGCGCGGAGGCGGAGGGCGGGGGGAGGAGCAGGTGGTGCGGCGCAGTGCCCCTCCCTTTGCTTGACGAGTGCACGTAGGGAGGACGTGCTGTTCACACGCCCGGCGGGGAGCTGGTACTGGTTCGTGTGCACCACACATCTTAATTCTTTTTTTAATCCCTTCTCTTCTCTCCCTCCCTCACCCAACTCCTGATCCCCTTCCTTTTTAGTCACGTTTACAAATACATTCACGCTCCTGTTGTGGAGATGATATGCGTACATATGTATCTCAGCTCCTTTTCTCGTTCCCATTCCCTCTTCTTCCCCTCTCGCTCTTCTTCTTCCCATTTGAGAAAGGTCTGTCTCCTTACTTCCTGTTATCTATCTTATAATAATTATCCCTTTATTTATACTTTGGGTTTCTCATGTAAGAAAATCAAGCAATATATATCACTGGAGGATACATTTCAGAGTCCTCAGTGGGTGTCTCAAACTAAGGACTGTACCAAAACACATACAGCGGAGTTCTCCCGCATCCACAGTTTCATTTTTATAATTTTAGTTACTAGCTGTCCACTATAGCCTGAAAATATTAAATGAAAAATTGCAGAAATAAACAATTCAGGGGCTGGGGATTTAGCTCAGCGGCACAGCGCCTGCCTGGCAAGCGCAAGGTCGTGAGCTCGATTCCCAGTACTGGGAGGAAAAAGAAAAAAAAAAGAAAGAAATAATTCATAAATTGTGTATTTTCTAATAGTGTGATAAAATGCTGCACGCCCTCCACTCTGTCCTGCACGGGACAGGCACCACTCCACTGCTCAGGGTACCCATGCTATATATGCCATCAACTTACTAGTCATTTAGTAGATCTCTGGTTATCAGTGCCTGTGCTAAGTAACCTTGTAAACTGTTTTTAATAGCAACTTTATTTGCAGTGCTGGGGGCCAAACCTAGGGTCTACACACTATACAAGTACTTCACCACTGAGTATACCTTAGCCTCTTAAGTGACCTTTTACTTAATAATGGCCCCAGAGCACAAAAACAAGTGATACTAGCATTTCTGGATATGCTAAAGAGAGGCCTTAACATGATTCCTTAACTAAAAAAGTAAAAGCTCTCAACTAACAAGAAAAGAGAAGCATATGCCATGCTCTTAAGCTCTATTGTAAAATTAAATCTGTGGAATTCTTAAGAAAGAAAATAATATTCAGTCAGATCTAGAAGCACATGCCTTTAATCCTACCTACTGGAGAGGCTAAGGTAGGAGGACTAAATTGGAAGCCAGTGCAGGCAGCTCAGCAACTTTGTCTCAAAATAAAAAGGGTTGGGGATACAGCTCAGCAGTCAAGTGATCATAGTACTACCATAATAAATGAAAAGAACAAAGAAAGAAACCTATTTTTGTTACACCTCAAACACACAAATTTACTGCCAGAGTATATGATAAGTGCTGAGTCAAAAGGAAAGTATTAAGTTTGTGGGTGGAGTCAGGTTTGATGGTGCATGCCTGTTAATCCCAGTATTCTGTAAGGGTGAGACAGGAGGACTGCAAATTCAAGCCCAGCTTGAGCAACTTATCGAGACTCTGTCTCAAAAGGGCGGGAATGGGGATGTAGGTTAGTGAGAAGGCCCAGGATATGATCCCCAGTACAAAATGTAGGTTAAAGATATGAACAGAAAAGACTCTCCATCTGAAGACAACATGTCATACCCTAAAAACAGTGTGTAAATATAGCAGTTTCCTTTTATATTTGGGAGATAAGTTCCAAGGCCCTCAGTGGAAACCTGAAACTAGATAATACTGAGCCCTATAAATGAGCACTTTTCAGGGCTGGGGATTTAGCTCAGTGCCTAAATTTTAGCTCAGTGCCTTTAGCGGCACAGTGCCTGCCTGGCAAGCGCGAGGTCATGAGTTCAATTCCTGGTACCAGAAAAAAACAAAAAACAAAAAACAAACAAATGAGCACTTTTCAAAAACTGTTGCAGTAACTTCTGCAGTTTGAGGTCAGCAAAACTAGCATAAATTTTTCTTTCTGCACCATTTCACAGAGCTTAGTAAGGTCATATAATATTTTTTATAACTTTTATACCTCCCAAATATAAAAGTTTTTCTTTCCTTATTAGGTCAATAAATTTCACCTTTCCACTTAAAGGAAGCTTCCATTTTATGGATTTTCTGTGACATATCCAAACTGCAGCATCACTACTTTTATAGTTTGGGGCCATTATTAAGTAAAATAAGGGTGACTTAAATAAACACTGTAATATTCCAAATGTCAACTGACAACTGATGTTATGGCTTGTGTGTAGATGTTACCCCAAAGCCTCATGCAGTCAAAGGTGAGGCTTTTTCAGAGCTGGCTGCATCTATAGTGTGATGCTAGGATCGATTCACGGTGCAGTGCTAAGATGGAGGGTACTAGGATTAAGGGCGTAAGTGCTATCTGCTCTAAGCAGCCTGGGTAAGATCTAAGGGACAGAAAGAGCTGTGGTCGTCCCTTGTTGCTTTGGTATCTTCTGCCTGCCATGAACTGTTTCTCCTCTGTGATGCTCCTCTGCCACGTGCTACCCTGCCGTGAAGCCAGCCAATGATGGACTGAAACCTCTATAAATTGAGAGCCAAATAAACTTTTCCTCCTCTAACTTTGGGTGTGGGGTATTTGTTTCAGCAATGAGAAAAGACAGCTGAGATGATTAAGAAGGGATGCAATGGACAAAGGGATGATTTAGATCCTGCCTGAGCAGCAGGAACTTGAGAGTTCATCATGCTATTCAGAAAGGCATACAATTTACTTTTGTTGTTGTTGTTGTTGTTGTTGTTTTTTCCAGTACGAGGAATCGAACTCACGACCTTCCGCTTGCCAGGCAGGGCTGTGCTGCTGAGCTAAATCTCCACTCCAAGGCACACAATTTAAAACTTATCAATTATTCGTTTCTGGAACTTTCCATTTAGTATTTTTGGACCACGGTTGATGGGTGTAAGTGAAACTATGTTAAGGGAAAACTAAGGAAAAAAAATAGGCTGTGAAAGGTTTCATACTCCATATCAGTAAATTCTGACACACAAAAAGTTGAGCTGAGAAGTAACTCGAACACTTTTTTTTTTTTTTTAATTGATTTCATTGAAAACAGAACAAGAAATGGTCTGAGCCAAAAGACTGCTCTTAAAACCGTCAAAAACATTTTAACAGAAAAAATAAACATGACTGCATTATGAATGTTTAGAAGAGTCACACGAAAAGAACTCCACTGCCCTGCACTAATTACAGTATTTAGAAAGGTATATGCCAAAAAAGTACATGACCTGCCAGGCTGTCACACAAAAGGTGACAGCAAATTTATTCACACTACAAGGCTAACATTTTAAAAAAGAGTTTCCTGCGTTTAATTCTAAAATCCTTTGTTCTCTTTTTACAGTTGATAGTTTATTTTCACAGGGTGAGTAGAAACCACACCAGATTCTGCACCGTTGACTGTGTTTTGTGTTTTTATTCTTTGTTTGTCCTAATGACATTTACTTTTTTGAAAGCTAACTCTGGAAGTTATATTAGAATGGGGTTGTGCAGTACAAAGCTATATAATAATCTCAAACATAAATGATGAGAAAAAAAAAAAAGTGAATCCGAGAAGCCCTTTTCAGGTGGGATTCTTCACATGTGGAGACAGCTGCGCATGTGAGGAAGAGTCAGGGAGCAGAGGGGAGGACAGCAAGACGCTGTACACGAGCTGCACTGTCTGTGTCTAGGGCGGCGCCTGAAGGAAGCGAACGGTGTATGTAAGAGAGAATACAGGAAACGTGTTTGTAATCTTCTTCATCTGGGAGGACCATGGTGTAAATTTCCATCTGATTTTACAGGAATATTACACTGGGCAGGAAGGCTTGCCTACAAGAATGTACTGGCTCTCGGTATCATTAAACTTTCATTTTCTAAACAAAATGAGGTAAGGGAGGCAATTAAATGAAATCTCTATTTCTCAAAATGGGTATTAGGAAAAAAATCAGTAAGAAATAAAACTTCTATTAACAACAGGAGTCAGTACAGTGTTTGGGGGAGATGAGCCAATGACTAGCAGGCACTCCTCTGACAAGCACGTACAAAAAGAAGAAACGCTCAATGTAGTGTATACCAATTTTGGATCCTAATCTCCACCTCTAAATAAATTGTTAAGATAGGCTCCCTGCACCATGCAAGTCACAGTCCCAAGAAAAAACAATAATATGCCTGGTGCCACATACATCCATCTACAGACCACCAAGATTTTCTATCTGGCCATGGATTGGGTGGAAGAAAGAACAGACAACGGGTTTAATAGAAAAGAGGACCTTTTTAATGCTAGAGGTCTACTTATTCAAAAAGGGTTAATTTTGTGGAGAAGGACATTCCTTAGTTACTATTTTGTGTACTGCCTAAGGCCTGACCAAACCACGACTGTTGGGTTCTGGAGGAAGTCTAGCATAAGCACTGTAAGCCCCAGGGTCAATACTAGATGCTTTGCTGATACACATGAAGGCTAACTGGTCAAGTCACATTCCTATGATAATTGAGTTGTATTGTCTTGCTAAAGAGTTGATGTCCTCCTATTCCTCAGCTGCCCCGGGGGTTCTTTCTGAATAAAACGTTACTGAAGATGGTAATCACGAGTCAGACCTAGAGGCTGCTAGCACCTGATCACAGAATTTTGGCTCTCTTGGTTTTCTTTTTTCTTATACAGCTGAGGGCACCTAGTTCGGGGGATCTGTTCACCCTGGACAGAGCTGGATGAGAAGTCCGACATTAATTTGTACGGCAGAAGGTAAAAATCAACCTTAGG